CCCCCCGGGCCCCCCGGCTTCTGAGGAGACAAACCAGCCAGAAGCCTGGCAGAATCCCCCCTCCTCAATACAAGTGCGCAACGCGGAGCCGAGCAAGAACTTCCCAGCATTGCAGTCACACCCCCAGCAACGATAACCCCGGACACAAACACACCTTTTCACCCGGAAGAAACTTTTTGTTTGTTTGTTTGTTTGTTTGTTTGTTTGTTTGTTCGTTCCTTTACCTGGGTGTGGCCGCGGGGCATGCCTGTAATGTAATCCTGACACTACTTGGGTGGTGGGGACGGGAGGATCCACAGGTCCAGGCCAGCCAGGGGGCTCTGCTGCAAAGACACAAACCTAACAGCAGATCGGGTGCAGAACGATCGTCTAGAGGATTTTAAACCTTAGTTAAGGCTGCTTACATTACAAGAGACCCATTCAACGTTGAAGGTGGCCCTTTTTTTGTTCTTCAATAGAGGCAAGCAAGCTTCCTCCCTAATAAAAGGCTCAAGCTATGTATGCCCCAGCCTTGAGTTTTCAAAATCATCACCCATGCTTTTTACCTTTCTGTAACCCATTTCCTACATCCATATGTCATCGATTTTATTTTTTCTGTAGTAGGGATTGGAGCCAAGTAGCCACTGTAGCACCGAGCCTTCTTTATCCCCCCCTCCCCCACCTTAGTGGTTTCTCTTTTTAGAAATCGGACCTGGAACTCGATCAATACTGAGACTGGCACTGAACGCCTGATTTCATCTCCCCCCACCTCTGAAATGCCGTGATGACAGCCATATGCTACTGGCTGGGTTGTGGGGCTTTTGGGTGTTTGTTTTTTTCGACAGAGGTTTCTCTGTGTAGCTTTGGAGCCTGTCCTGGAACTTGCTCTTGTAGACCAGGCTCGCCTTGAACTCAGAGATCCGCCTGCCTCTGCCTCCCAAGTGCTGCGATTAAAGGCGTGCGCTAACACCCCCGGCAGCGCAGGCGTTGTTTTTAAACTTGGTTTTCTGTGTAGCCATGGCTGTTCTGGAATTCACTCTGGAGACCAGGCTGGCCTCGAACTCAACAGATCCGCCTGCCTCTGTCTCAGAGTGCTGGGATCAAACTGGTTTTAATGGCCACTGTGCCAACCACCGCCTGGCCCTTTTTTATTTTTAGTTTGTTTTTTCGAGGCAGGGTTCCTCTGCGTAGTCTTGGATGAACTGGAACTCGCTTTGTAGACCAGGCTGGCCTGGAACTCAGAGATGCGCCTGCCCCTGCCACCTAAGTGCTGGGATTAAAGGCGAGCCACACTATCCTCTGGCTAACCCCCTTTTTTTTTAAGTTTTTCGAGACAGGGTTTCTCTGTAGCTTTGGAGCCTATCCTGGCACTCGCTCTGCAGACCAGGCTGGCCTCGAACTTACAGAGATCCACCTGCCTCTGCCTCCCGAGTGCTGGGACTAAAGGCGTGCGCCACCAACGCCGGGGGCCCCCGTTTTACTTCTTAAGACAAAGGTCCCACCATGTTACCCAGGGGGCCCTAGAACTCCCTCTATAGTAATTTTTGCAGCCTCCTGCCTCAGCCTCCCCGAGTGGCTGTCCTAACTTGCGTACGTCTGTCTCTGTTTTCCTCCCGGCCTCTGGCCATCTCCGTCTCTTGCAGATGTCTCTCCCCGCCCCGCCCCGGTGTGTCTCACACGCCCACGCCCTCCCGGGTCCCTGCCCTTGTCAATTGTCCCCGGGGCCCTGCCCCCACTCCTCCTACCCCAGCTCCCTTCCCGATCGTCGCCAACCTTCCAAAACTACTCCGACGCCCCGCTAACCATCAGGGTGACAAAGCCCCGGCTA